AGGCAAATAAAGGAATATAGTTGCTAGGGAGATCGTGGTGCCATCGAAATTAAACTGCAATATATATATATATATATATATATATATATATATATATATATATATATATATATATACATAGTAGTAGTAGTAGCAATACAGTATTGTAATCCGTATGGAATTTACAGGAGGATATAGATCCAAGGAGAGATCCATGTCAAAAAACAGAGCAAGATTATTATTAATTAAAGAATATCAAACACTTAAAATCCCATAGGTAATAATTTTTATTTCATCAGAGCTCTAAAATAGCAGCTCTCAAACTTCAAGACCTACAAACAAATCAATGATATATATATATATGTGTGTGTATGTGTATATGTGTGTGTATGTGTGTGTGTGTCAGTGAATAATATTGATATATCATTTTATTTTGTAATAATCCTTTCTATTCCTCTAATCATCTTGATGTTAATATGACACATATTTAATGCCATTTTGCATTTCTACTAATTTTATCATATATATATATATATATATATATATATATATATATATATATATATATATATGTGTGTGTGTGTGTGTGTGTGTGTGTGTGTGTGTGTGTGTGTGTGTGTGTATTTCTGGTTAGGTTCTTTACATTGGGACGCTTATTTTGCAAAAAGAAATCCATGATTACAACGGATAAATTTAAATTATTTGTAAATAATCAAAACAAAGCCAGTTTCTTTTAATCCTCATCACATCGACCACAGTTACAATAAGTTTGTCTTTGTAATTAACCCTGGAGGATGATCTTGGAGGCGATCAAAAGTACTTTATTAGGAAAATTATTACGGCGCCTTCTATGATGAATTTCATCTTAACATCAAGAAACTGATTAGAACTGATTAGAGCATTAGAAAGGATTATTTAAAACATAGACCTAATATGTTTATGTTAGTCAATAAAACATGTTTGAAACAAATGCTATCTAAAACACACACACACACACACACACATATATATATACATATATATATATATATATATATATATATATATATATATATATATATATATATATTGCATCAAAAGCATCGCTACACAATTGCATTCGTGTTTCGATGCGCATACAACTCATCTCATCAGGTGATTGTAAATTATTGGCGAGTGAACGATTTAATCAGATTTAATAGAAAAATACAGCCTCTTTTTACAATAAAAAACAGGAGGTTGGTTATAAAATTTGTGGGATTTGCTTAGATCAACCTGTCAAATAAGGTCTACATTAAATTTGAACTAATAGTTTCCAGAAATATATATATATGCAGTGGTATTAAAAAAAACAGACCACTTTAATAATGGAACCTTAAAGTGGCCTGTTTTTCTGTTTTTTTAAAATATTAGCTATTTACATTGAGCCCTCAGGATTTCATCCTCCTTGGGATTACCCATAGGGGATTACCAAGTTTTTCATAACTATTTTTTTATATATATATATATATATATATATATATATATATATATATATATATATTCAGTTAAAGATAAAGTGCTAGTCAAATGTAGATCCTAGATAAAGGGTTAAAACACTAGATTATTTCCGGCCAAATGGAGATCCACTTCATCAAAGATTTCATGTGAGTTAATGGCTTGATTGAAATAAAAAGGTGGATTGGACGCCACCCCCCGATTGAGACATATGTTCATTGTACAGTACTGAGCGAATTAACTGTGACAATGACGTCATTTTAATATTTTTTTCTTTTATACCCGCTTTGAACAGTGTCACAATAGTTTAATGACTTCTAATCAAAATGGCGCCATTACAGTGCACATACCTTTTAAAACAGAACACTTCTGAAACAATTTTGAATTTCTTTCTGACTAAACTTTGTATTTGGTTAGAAATGGTGTGATTTATATTGTTTTATTTGAAAACAGATTTTTTTTTCAGTTACTGCTTCTGATTTCAAAACTGACCTGATTATTTTATTTCAACAGATAATATAAAAAATGGATATAACTTCTAAAAAGCGTGCACAGCTAATTGCGCATCATGAACATTCAAACAAATTTGTGCGACAAATAGCCTAAAGCCTCAAGATAATCAAGTCCAGTGTTGGACGCATTGTGAAAAGGAGAGTCTCCATTGAGTCATAAAGTTTTTGAGAAAAGGAAGTTGTGGAAGAAAAAGGAAAGCGACCAAAAGAGACGAAGCAATGCTGCTCAGAAACAGCATTAAAAAACCCGAGAAAGAATAGCATGGACTTGGCAGTAGATTTAGTGGAATCCGGTGTGTCCATATCTGAATCAACTGTTACGAGACGGCTACTTGAAATGGATCGACCAGCCAGAAAACCACATAAAAACCGCTTTTGACAGGAAGAATGAAGGATAAACATCTTATAATGATTGGACGGTGGAACATTGGAAAAGAATGTTGTTCTCGGATGAAACGCACGTTGAAGTGAGAGGTCATCGATCTCGATTTATACGGAGAAGCAAAGGTAAACCCATAAGATTGAAGGCCATATTGAGCAAAAGTCAAAACACGTTCCCAACAAAAATTTTAGGAAAAGTTTTAGTTCAAATGTGTTAAGAAGATTGAGAATAATTGAGTGGGTGATGAACAGCGCAAAATATTAAGTCCATCAATAATGGTAGAATTATACCAGATGGAGATGATGCATTTCAGCCAGATAATACCACCTGCCACACATCGAAAAAAGTACAGAATTCTTTTCAAAATAAGGGTGTAAAAGGGTTGAACTGCCCAGAAAATTCCCCTGTCCTGAATCCCATTGAAAACTTGTGGAATATTGTGAAGCATGGAGTGGTAAAAACGACTGTACCACCCTGGAGAAGCTAATCTATGCGGTCAATCAGATATGGTATCACAATGAAAAGTTCGGCAACATGTGTCTGAAACCGACCGAATCAATGCCAAAACCTGTCTAAATACTCATTAAAAGTTGAGGTGGACATATAAAGTACTGACATGTGACATTTTAAAATAGTTATGTTTAAGATTTTTTGGAAAAATGAACATAATTTGATATTCCATCTCTCTATTTTATTGAAATAACCGTCCCATATTACTTGGCACAGTAAAATTCCCTAAACTGTCGTATGTAAACCAACCATGCCATGAATGTCCTTATCTAGAATACATTGTGCATTTGTCAATTACATGTCTTGAAAAAGAGCGGAAAGTACCCCAAGAAAAACGTACAAATAAGCTTTCCTTTTGATGGTGACAAGAGTACTATAGTAAATTTCCATCTCATCTTTCAATCCGTAAAAAATGACAATGTATGATAACTTGAGAGTTAGGGGTCATACATTGTCATTTTTCCTTCAGTTCAAACTTTCAAGTGCTTCTGTGACCTTTATAAAAGTCATGATTACATGAGGTAGAGTAAGATTTCAGGAAAATTACTTGATAAAAATCCGCGAGAAAAAATGTTGAAGAAAGGTCTACATAATGAATATATGCCATCCTGACTCTCAGATAATTCCGTTATGAAAAACGTAATACCTGAATCTTCGACTTCCCAGATTAATTCCTTTTGAGGGTTCTGTCCAAGTTCCGCGAATTTTGGCGCCGTACTTTTTATTTCCAGTCGTCCTTATCTTTATTATTATTATCACAATTTTCCGACCGTTGTGTACTACAACTGCCATCAGGTGCTTGTTGATTCTGTTAATTTCAAACTGTGCCCTATATTTAATCTACGAACAAGACAAAATTCGTTAGAAACAAAGAAAAGATTACTTAAGCATTATATAGTATCGGTTCTGCTATATGCCAGTGAATGCTGGACAGGATGAAGAAAAGACTTGAAACAACAGAAATGTGGTTCTACAGAAGGATGCTGAGAATACCATGGATTTAACATGTGAGCAACAACGAAGTTTTGAGAAAATACAAAGAAACAGGACGCTTATGATTAACATCAGAAAATCAAAGCTTAAATTGCTAGAACACATAACGAGGAAAGGGGCATGGAAAAGTCGATACACATAGGATATATTGAAGACAAGAGTGGAGGACTGATATTACGTAAAAGTTCGTTACACCTTTCTTTGTGTCTACCAAAATTTTCCTGTTTCTTAATAGTTTGATTAGCTTTCAAAAGGCATCTTTCGATATCCCAATGCTGCTTCTGATTTCAGTGGCGCAGTTTCCAACCTCTGTTAAAGTCCTACCCAGATATTTAAATTATTTTAATTTTTTTGATTTTCGTATCTCCAATTTGTATGTTGGGCTGTCCCTATTGCTGACAATCATGGATTAACGGAAGATTCAATCCATAAGGCAATGGTCAACGGGATGTGGACAGTTAAACTCTGGAGATTAAATAAAGGGGTCAGTTTGAAATTACTTGGTTACGTGGGTTGACAAGCATTTGATGAAGTTTGAAGAACACAAGGGCCCAGATATTGTGATAAAAATAAAGCGAAAGAGAAGGGTTCGAGTCTACATACTATGGATAATGATAACTCTCAATAATTTAGACAGAACTTACCTCATGTTTCTTAACAAAGTCATATGTTCTTCTTCTGTGTATTGCGTCCCTTCCGAATGTGGGCGACCATGTCTCTCCGCAATTTACCGTCCTTAGTAGCTCATAGTAAATTTTATCTTTTCACTCTTTATCCTAGTATTGCTATTTATGTTCAGTTTATTTAGACAGGTTTGGGATGTCTAAAAAATACCTAAAGAAACTTTATCATAAACTCATAAACGCCATTACTTTTAAATCGTAGGAGATCATGGCTCTCCACAGATTCCGTTTGTTTATTATCTGTGTATTGACATGAATTTTTGAGAAAGTAATGGAGTGGTTTCCAGTTGCTATCTCCACAGTTCCCAGTTCACTGTTGTCCTTCTAGAATATCTGAAGCAAGTGAGCCCATTCTATCATAGCTGGGGGTTGAGATGAAATGGATTCATGCATTTTCCCCATACTGAGGTATATAGCCTTGGTCGGTAACCAGTCTAGCATAAGGACAACTCTGAAATCAAATCCTCAGTGTTCGAGTATTCGGCGACTAAACTGGTTTAGAACCTGCATTGGTGATGAAGGTAGGTACAAGAGCAGTTTAAAGGGAAGATGAATTTCTCAGTTTCAACGCCCATCCACCCCAACTATGTGTTAAATAGCTTCACCAACCCGCAGTTATCCAAATGTGGTGATCACAGTTAAACCCCCTTAAGATAAGGTCAGTCAGTGAGAGGTTCCGCCAGCAGTAGTGTGAAGGCTCTGGATTTGAAAGTTTCGGGTCATATTACCAGCCACTGTTTTTAAGTTCAGATGTTAGGGTTAGGGTTAGGAACGGAGACTTGTAAGGGTCACGAATCCAAAATATTTAGAAAGATAAATTTCGAAACATGTCTCAACATTCAATAAAAATGTGTTATACATGTTTTGTCTACAATCCACACTAAAATTATTGGTCTCTGCTATTATGAAGCGAATCCTTACCGTTCCAAAAAAAGTGATGGGAGTTTATGATTTAATGTCTTTCCTGGGTTTAGAGTGTTTGACGTAAAGTTGGCACTGAATTGATTTTCGCTTAAATTAATCTGATCTTAAAATGAATTTCTTCCGCCAGTCGTCCTATTCGTCAACCGAAGATACTGCGAGCTACCTGCTGAGCAAATGACATTACCAGAAACATTCAACTGCTATATTCTACCCTATCATTTGAGTAATCTCCTTTATCACGTTGTCTTCTGTCAAGCTTCTCCTACTCGGCTCGCTAGTTAGTTAGTTGACTATTAATACAGAGTACTGAGCTGAACCCTCACGGTATGCCACGGACCATTCATCAACAATTTAATGCAACAAAAATTCAACAAAAGACGTAAAAGGAAGCAACTAAACTTGGTATACATTTCCTACCAAAAACTCAAACTTTTGTTCAATCTACTCCGGTTTTTATCTTGTTATGTATCTCACCCATCTTCCTTTTTACTGTTTCATTATTTGTTTCGGTTCTTGGAACCGTAGAGAAAAATGGTGATGAGATGGGGGTCAAAAAATGCAGTGCGGTGCCCGCCGGCAGGCCAGCTATTTTTTCTTCTACGGTCGCCTCAAGGAAAGGATTGTGTGGCTCCCACTCTCAGCCGTTACACTGAGCGGTCGTTAAACAGACTCCAGCTCGGCCGCGCCTACTTCGACTCTCTCTTTGTCCGTCTGTCAATCCGTACGTCCAGCTCTATTGCACGCTGTCCGTCGAATGACTTCGGTCCTCTCGTGCTGCTGGCATCCCGCTTTTTATGCTATTCCAATACGGCCAAATTTTGCATGTGTGCAAATACCGTCTCGTTTTAGACGAGATAGGCGTGCATAAATTGCGTCTTCAATAGCGGCCATATTTATTTTTTTCTCATCATTTCGCAGCCAAGACACGTTCGAACTCTCTTCGAATTCTGAGTTAAGTCAAGTCTTTCGTCACACTCCTGCCTGATCTCATGATCACAAAATCGCCAGCTCGGTGACGGTCCTTTTTAGACGGTTGCTTATTCGCAAAAGCAGGGAGAGGGACTCTGCTCTTGCTCCCTCTTCGGGTGACAAAAATGATCAGCTTGCAGTCAGTCATTTCTGGTGGACGGAATACCACGCCATGTTAAGGATCTGCACCCGCGCCGCGGTTTCAGTGCGTACGAGGAAGATTCCGATGACACATCTGAGAGCGTAACAGAAAGTTTGCTGCTTCAGGAGAAAAATGCAAAGTGCTTCAAACCTCCCAAAGAGGAAGTCGAAGTAGGTGCGGCTGAGCTGGTGTCTGTTTCACGACTGCCCAGTGTAACGGCTGAGAAAGGGAGCCACGCAATCCATTTCCTTGAGGCGACCAAAGAAGAAAAAATAGCTGATCTGCCGGCGAGCAACGCACAGAACTTTTTGACCCCCGTCTCATTACCATTTTTTCTCTACAAGAAGCTTCGCCGTAAACTTTTTGGCGTAGGAAAACTCGCCTCAGGGATTTTCACCGTAGAAAACTTTGCCTTATAGGAATTTTGCCGTAAGACAATTTCGCCACATTTATTTCAATATGCGAAATACCTTATCAAGAATATCTGAATATTTAAATTACTATTGTGTGGCACCATGCATAATTAGAAAACTGAAAAGAGATATTCATAAATATATGATTTGTTTTTTCGGTTTGTTAACCATTTGAGAATTGTTTAGAGGTGAAAAAAATATTTCGGGGTTGAGAATAATTCTTTAATTGCGTTCAGACGATCTGGGAGAAAGAAAGAAAGGAAGAGAAAAAGGAAAGAAAAGAGAAAAATAAATAATACGAAACCAGGTCGTAAGCGAAAACACACACGCTCGACTGGCATATATCAGATGTCAAAAATATCAGGTCAAGCACCTGACCTACTTCGGTGTCCACGAAAAATGGAGGTTTGTTATCAATTTGGTTGAAGAAATACAATTTTAGAGACAATGAAAAAAAGAAATA